TTTTTTTTTTTTTTTTTTTTTTTTTTTTTTTTGAAAAGATATTTTGCCTAATTTGTTGTTTTTTATTGGTTATGCAGATGGATAAATTGTCTTTTTTTTTTGAACTTTCATAATGTCATAGTGCACTAAACCACTTGATTTTAAATTAGATTAGTAGAAGTGCTGACGTTCCCTCCGGGTAGGTAAACTCCCAATTAGGGTGTACATTGAGGGCATTTAATCACATTCGCTGCTATAAGACCCAAGATTCTCAAGTCAAATATTGGGTTCTGCCTTAGTACTCTGAAATTAAATTATTAGTAACTTCTGTTGACTAAATGCTGGGTTGTGGCAAAGTTGACAAGATAAAACCCACCACGATCCACTCGAATAGTTGTTTGACCTTTGTACGATGAGGAGGTTTTGCAGATTGATTTAATTCACCAGTTAGACAACATCGATTGGTAATATCATTTCGGTGATGTCATCTGTTCGATTTTATACACATTTTTGACAGTTTACGAAAGATGGGAGATCTGTTTTGGTAGATATACATTTAATCAGCGGTAAATTTGGCTTTGAAATGCGTGCAGTAAAAGATACTTTGGCAGCTGACTACAGATTATTTATGCTATAATTTAGATATTTTTTGCTGTATATCAGGATGCAAAAAGGTTTTATCGAGAACTTACGAGGAAAATTTCCTATGATTTCCTCTGTTAGCTGTATGACACAAAAAACTGGATCTACAGATATAATGTTTTTCTGTATTTAGCATGCATATTAATTACAACTTTTTTTTTGAAATTTTTTCAAAGATGCTAAAACTGTCATCTGCTTCTAAACTATAAAGCAGGATGAAAAAAAAAGAGGAGACTTTCTGATGAGAAGTGGTTATTTTAGGCCGCTGAGTAACGCTAAAGTGGTTTCATAGGTTTAATAACATACACAAAAAAAAAAAACGTGTACAATTTTGCCTACTGCTGTTTATGGTTAAACTGTATTCAAGAGATATGTTAATAAAACCCTAGTTTCACTGTTCTGTTGACAAGTATCATCTTCCGTACTCTTTAAAAAATTGTACTTAATTATTCAATAAAATTTTTACAAGCATTTTTTTCTGCTGAACTTTTTCTGACTCTTTTTAAAAGAGCCATCAAATCTTATACAACAGTTTACTCCCTACTGTGCCTTCTTTCTTGCACTTGGTTGATAACAGCTGAATAAACACTTTTAAACTGCTCCAAAAAACTGATAAGCAGCATATTTAAGAAAAGAAATGAATGGTGGTATGGTATAACAGTAGGATCTTTAAGATCGCAAGGAATCTAAAGTAGACGTATTTGGGTCAGAATTTGAAAAGGTGCTTATATCCTGAAATGTACTGCAGTAACATCATTAAAATGGCTAAAGTTAAAAGGGACAATTAAGTTGTTAAAATTTACTGGTCCAGCATATCGTCTTTACCTCTATCAATCAATCAAATATTAGGTGGAAGGAAACTTGAAATTACCAACTAAAACTTTTCTAGAAAAAGCTTCTAATAAAAAATTATAACTTCCAATTACCAGATCTTCAGGCAGTATGATACCAGTTTTATGTCAGTTTAGAATCTGTGCAATACTGTAAAAGCCCTAAAAGAACGATTACTATTTGATTAACTGTAT